AAGGAGCAACATCAAACTGGAAGTGACTCAGTTGGTTCCAGTGCCACGATACAACCAACCACATACTTGATTAACGCAGCAATGGAAGACAGAGACAAGGAGGGAGCAGTGAGACCCTTGGCATTATTAACCCTAATGGTTCACTGTTTTTTTGCCTTAGCAAGTTACAAATGCTGCTTTGTTACCCACTTCAACCAGAGTGGTCATTTCCATATCAGAGTAAAGTGCTTACATGATCAAACTTCTAATGTATTTAATCTCAAATTAAAAAACCAACCAAACAAAAACCCAACCAAACAAATAACCCCACCACACAAGCAAAAACCTGGGCTCTTATGAACTAATTGCTCATGAAGAGCAAAGTTCCTGAAACTTATGTGCCAGTGGAGCTTACCTCGTTCAATATCATCCATAGGAGAAGATGGAAACATTTTTTCTTTTGACGGAGAGTATTTAACGTTGTTGGGAACCTTGGTTGCATTTCGCATTTGCTGCTGTTGCTGCTCGATGCGAGACTGGACTTTACTGCTTCCTTCAGCTCTGTGTGTAAAAGGAAAAGATTTCTAATTGCTAGAAGACAAGATGCAAGGAAAAAGGCAGAATACAGGGGATATGGTACAAGGGAATTATTTCTGATGCCTTTCTAAATACTATCATTAGATCTTAGGTAAGTTATTATACTGGCATAATATTGTTTATAAATGTGTTAAAATTTGTTTTTTGATACAGTGCTAATAACTTTATAACACTTTGTCAGTTGATTTGTTTTTATACCTGGCTGCCCAGGATCACTTAATAATAATTCTGCTGGAAGTTACTTACATGGACTCAGCAGCAGGACAAAAAAATTAAAAATCTTGGTATGAGAAAAACAAGTCATTAAAATTACTGAAGCCTGTCACAGAATTTATCTTTTTTATTTCCTAATTTACAGTCAGAAGACAGTAGGCAAACTACTGTCCAAAGAGATTTTATTTCTCCCTCCAAAGTCATCAGAAAATAGTTACTATTTCTCTCAATAATGTAACAGGTTTTGGTTAACAAAAAAATAAATTCCCATTTCTTTTGCAGTCAAGACTTGAAAGCTGTGAAGTCAGTGTGCTGAGAGAGCAGGCTTTTCACTCCTTTGAACAAGGCCAGGTACTTTCTAAAATTATGTTTTGCTAAAAATAGTAATGGGTAGTTATGTATCTCAATTTAGGCTCATTAACAAATCGATTTTCACAATGAGTAAAGCGCAGTTGTTTCTCTTGTAAATCACCCACCTGGTTTTTTTCACAGTGATGTTGCTACTAAGTTTCTCTAGGCGACATTCTCCAGTGTCATGGTTGATAATTAAGATACATTCTTTTAGGTAAGGCTTCTTTGAGCCCTTGAACACAGTCACTGGTGGAGTTGAGCCCTATTAAATCAGAAGTCCAGTAAGTGTTACTCCTGTAATCTTTCTTCTTAGAAACAGCAATCCATCAGTGATGGCAAGTTCACTACAAGTGATCATTTCTAGCCCATAAAAATGTTACTGGTTAATTTAAATCAGATTCACAGTAGCCATGTCCAAAAGCAGCCGGTATTTGACTAGAATGGGATTTCACTCAGCTTAGCTTAGTTTGATACTGATTAAATGCTTATTTCCCAAGGCGAGCAGGCTCCCTGTAGGACTCCTTTCACCAAAAGGGTTTCAGTTCCCATATCAGGAGAGCAGTAAAGCATGGCAGGTAGTAAATTTTCCCTTTCCAGTCTTTCCTGCTTTAGAACTGCACTAGAGCAATAAATACCAAGGGGAAACTTGCACTGCCAACATACACATGAAGCTTTTCTGAGTACGCAATGCTTTGGGTCATCCTACAGCATATTTCCAGTGTGGCCAACACACTTAAAGTTACAGTGCAGCTGCTTAACCTTTGGGTCTTCTGTAGTTTTACATTCCTAGAGCAATTTTTTTTCTACTCTGAAAATCACACAGGCAGCTCTGAAACAGCACTGAAACTTTATACCCTTCCATATTCAGGATATATACTTATGACGACAAAATAAATCACTCCCTTAGGCCCACCACTCCTCAGCCACCCCACTCACCTCAATATTTGGCAGCGTTATTGTCACCTGTTCACCTTTGCCAACTTCAAGGTCTCCTTCACAGGACATATCGATAGATGCAGGCTTAAAGTCATCTACATATAAAAACAAACTGGATTATTTACAGGCTTTTCAGGCATCTTATAAATGTAGACACCATTTAATTGCAGTTGGAGGTTACTAAGTTAAAGCCTTTTTTTTTGCTGGTGTATCACCTACTATTCTCCTGAGCAGATCATTCCATAAGTCAGTACAATTCAAAGTCAAGCTGCTTTTCTCAAGATTCAATATAAATGTTAAAACCCTTCGGTTAAGATTAGAAAAATGACTTTAGGTTTTAATGGATAAAGAGGCTGAACAAGCTGTGACATATTTCAAAGTATAAATCCTCACATAATTATTTTCGGAAGAATCAATAAATAGTTCTTGAAAATGTTGATCCCAGACATGGGAGATGTAGACAAGTGACTGAAAATGCAAAGAACAATATCAATTCTCAATATCCATTTCTGACTTTATTACAATATGTATGTCAGAAGTTGACCAAACCTTGGAGTTTCAGTATAGTTATTTTTGTCACAAGTGAAATTACTTCCCAATTTAACATTAGCTTCCTTTTTGTCTTTTTCAACATCTAAAGTATTGGTTAAAATAAGTTTTAAAGAAAAGAAGGTATTCATTTCTGATCCTTTTCAAAAACGTGGGACATGGAAAACGAGCGGCTCTGCCTCAGCACGGCAGCTCTGTTACATACCATTAACTACAAAGTATTATTTCCACCACAAATGAATTGGGAAAGCCTACAGTCAAAAGTCTGCCTGCGCTGATCTAGGGAGACGGGGTGGCAACAAGAGGCTCTACGAGGCCTGTGGTAACATATGTGGGGTTGAATTCACGGCTCCAGGTAACGCAGGGGCAGTGTCGCACCCTGGGATGCCGGTGCCCTGCCCCGCACACGGATCACGCTCCTCGTCCATGGCTCGGCACACGCTCCTCGCCTCGCAACCTGCCCCGTCTGGCACTGCCGGTCACCGGCGGCGGCACTCCTGTGGCTGGGGAGCTTCCCAGTTCCACAACTCGGTCTGCAGCCACGGGCCAGGCGGCACAGACCACAGCTGGGAAGCGTGGCTCCAGCCTGCACACCAGCCGGGCAGGAAAACCAGGCTGCAGGAGCTGGTGGGCAGGACCGTGCGCGCAGCAGGAGGCTCGGAGCTGACACACAGGTAACAGCCCTTGCTAACCTCGTTTAGGGCAAATCCCCACGTGTTGTCTCACAGGGTCAAGCGTACAGCAGTTGCAAAGTTTCTCATCGAATCAGAGAATGTTTGCTTTATTTAGGATGCGGCCATTGGACTGTTAATACCTGAGAAAATTAAGGTATTGATACTTCCGATCTTAACTTCTAACCAGCTGTTGTCTTCTCTTTTTTTTGTTAACAAAAACGTCAGGTGTCCGAGGATATTTCTGCATGTGCTTTTGATAGAACTGGTGAACGTGCCAGTTTCTATGTCTCATTTGTTGGAAAGGAAGAGAGATTTCAAAACAGATTTCAGAACAAATCATCAAATTACAAGAGTCAGCAAGAAACTGTAGGGGTAGGAGGTACCAGATGTGGTGGTTAGTCCTTTTTAAAATTAGGGCAAATTTCAAGCTGCAGCACTTGTTTAAATTCATTTATAGGTTTTTCCCCTTCCACAGTCGCAGACAATCCTCCCTAAATGCCGTTCCCTTTGCTCACAAGGAGCACATTGACCCTCTCACACACAGGACACCCTCCAGAGAACATATGCGGGACTGAATCTTGGGGATCAGTCTATAAATAACCAGACAACAAAACCAGAAGCAGCAGTCCTAAATTACCAGGACTATAATCCTGGGAGCATTTGTTTCCTAGCTACCCTCAGAATCTTTGAGCACACACCTCTCTAGATAGTAATTATGTACTCAGGGAGGGTGCACTGGCTCCGTGATTAACGCTGCCTGCCTGTAACCTTTGATTGCTGAATTATACGGAACTTCTGAAAACTCGGCGCAAGGGAAGAGAGCAGAGCCAGAGCTGCTGCTCAGCTCGGCTTCCAGCAGAACCTCAGGGAGACACTGTGGAAAAGGCATGAAAAGCGAAGTTAGTGCCCAGAGGGTGGCGAGGGGCAGCTCTGCGATACAATGGCCATTCGTGCTCCAGCACCGACTGAAACCTGCACCGCACTGGTCCCGAAACCCCGGACCAGCACTACACGGCACTCAGGTCCCAGCTGCACCCCCGAATCCCGGGATGAAGGCAGCCACCGGGCCGGCAAGGCCAGGCCGGGCCGCGGCCACCCCCGTCCCTCAGGGCACTGCGAGGACAAACAGCCGAGCCCCCTTCCCGGACCCCTGAGGGGCTGCCCCAGCACTCACAGCGGACGGTGTGGAAGGCGCAGCGTGGCTGCTTCTCGAAGCTCTCTCCCAGGTTCAGCACCCGCGCCTTGGGGTCGTAGAGCGACGGGACCGCTCCGTTCATCGCGGCGGCGCCTCACACCATGGCGGGCCCTGGGGCCGCCGCCGCCGCCCGCACCGAGCATCCCTCACACCGCCGGGCCCGCGGGCCCCGCCCACGCCGCCTCCCATAGGCCATCGCCGCCTCAGCCCCGCCCTGCCCGAGCTCGGATTGGACAGCGGGCGCGCCCCTCTGTAGATTTTCACCAATGGCGCTGCCGGAGGCGCCGGTCTGCACGCGGATATGCAAATGATCCCCTCCTCCCTCAGGGGAGAGTGCTGGTTGGTGGAGTGCGGCCGCGACCACGCAGCTATACGGGGAGGGGGGCGCGGGGGAGCGGTCGCGTTGGAGACGGCGGGTCCGGCGTTCCGACACCTCCCCTTTCCCCCCCGCAGGGGGGGAGCCCCCGCGCGGCGGTGAAAGGGGCCTGGGCCGTGCGGGGGGTCCTCTCAGAGCGCCTGAGGGGTCCCGCGGTGCGGGGGTTCGCGGCACCGGCGCCGCCGCTCGGGGGGGCCGTGGGGGCTCCAAGGTGACACCGGTGGGAGAGGGCACCGCTCCCTCGCCCCCTCCCCTGGCTGAGGCTGAGGTGCGGCCGCTGCCGCTGCCCGCCCCGCGGGGCCGCGCTCGGGCCGCCCGGCCGGAGCCCCGCGCTGCCGGCAGAGCCGGTCCGGCCGCCCGAGGCCTCGGGAGGCAGCGCGGTCGGGGCTCCCTCCATGTTTGTTTCCTTCCCCAGGGGGAGACGGGCGGCCCGAGGCTTCCAGCCGGTGGTGCAGGAGCTGGAGGTGGGATGGAGGTAGTGGCGTAAGGACCCCGCGCCTGCACCGCCACAATTAGGGAGGAAAGAGGCTGGAATCGCTGGTGGTGTGCGCCTGTTGCTGCTCCCCATGGCAGCTGCGGACCCCCAGGTCCTGGCCTTGGCTGCTCAGGTCACTGAGAGCGGGGAACAGGACATCCCCCTGCTGCTGCTGAAGTTAAAGGGTAATTAATACCTTTCCTAAAATAAAAGGATGGGCTGGTGAGCTATGGGCAGTCCTTCTCTCTTCTGCCTCCTTAAATACTGAAGGTTTTTCTGAATATTTCTGGCATGGCTGGAGACTCTGTAAGGTTGACAATGCAGCTTTTCCTGAGAGTGGCATTGAGTGGCGTTTGGCTTAGCAACAATAAGGAGGAGGAGCTGGGGAGCAAATGGACAGGAGTTTTTCCTGCCTCTCAGCTGTCACCCCGATGATGTGGGCCCTTGTCCTGCTGATGCGGGCAGGAATCTTATACTTGGTCAAATAATTTCTCCCAGTGATTTTGGGCAGAGAGCCAGAGTGGTCCTCAGTATTCGGTGTTTGAGTCTTAACACAGAAGTGTAATCATGAGCTCCTGTGTGACTCCCCTGCCTTCCCTTCTGCCACACAGCCACTGCTCTTAGGAATGGTTGGAACAAGTCAGGTCCTGTTCTAAATTGGGATGTAATTATAAGGAAGCTATATGTTTCCCAGTGGTTGTGGTTTTATGTGGCTCAGGAAATTCATACAAATGGGCCATATCCCAGGTAATGTATGTTTTGCTACTAAATGTGTAGAAAGAAAATGGCAACCTAAGTTTAGCGATCCTTCCTGATTGTCATATAATCTTACAAATGGTTTGTAGCTGTAGGAGCAAAAAATGCTGACAAAATACTTCATGAAGTTGTTAGCACTCTTATAATTACTTTAATCCTGGCTCTGTGTGCATATACTCTCCTTATGTTTTAGTAAAAGAAAAAAAAATCTTGCACATCAGAATCTTATGCTCCTCTTTGTCTCTCTCCTGCTTTCTTCTCACAGGAGTTTTAAGTAGCCCTTCCTTGGGATGTGAAGAATCAAAAAAAATTAAGCAAGATATATATGATTATGGTCTTACTCAGTACTGCTTGCTGGTCCTTAGGCAAGACCACTCTCGACTGCGGGGAGGCTGGGCCACTGCTGCCCAGCTAGCAGAGATACTAAGGTAAAAAAAAAACAAGCTAAGAAGTTTTCTTCTAGTTTTCTTTTGGTCCTTTCATCTTGCTCTTTTTCTTTTCAAGCTGCAATACATTGGCTCCCATCCAGAACAAGGCTCGCTGTTCAGAAAAGGCCAGGGTTAAAGTGCAGGGAGCAGTCAAGAGCTGAGGGGTCAGGCATAGCCTAATTGGTCCTGTTTAATTCATTCACGTTGTGTGTCATTGAGCTGGGTAAACTGTGTGGTGGGAACAGGGTTTGTGTTGGCTTTACTCTTTTTTTTTTTTGGACAGTACTCATCAGTGCAACAGTTCTTATCCAGTAATTGCTAATTTTGAATTGTAGATATTTAAAAAGGCTTGTTTGCTTGGATTTCATCTTGCAAAGATCTTTGACCTGATTGACTCACAGCTTAGCTTGGCTATATTTAAATGTCTATTTAATATAGCTATTTTAAGTACCTATTTACTCTTTTCAATATAATAGATGACAGGGTTCATATAAACTAGATAACCCCATGTAGTGATATTGTGAGGATGACGTTGTTAAATTTAATTCAGAGCTAGTAGATAAGAAAACTTTAAACTCAAATCCACAGTGATCCAATCTCAATTTTAAATGTTAGGAAAAATAATACATTTTAAATTTTTCTCAAGTTGTATGTGGTTTTGGCTTAACTAGGGAGCAAAATTCTAAGGCATGAAGTAATTAGGCAACCATCTCTTATTTATGCCATATCTGCAGTATGAATTTTTAATGTGAGGAATTTCAGTAAGAGAATGCAAGATTTATCACTAGAGTAGTGTGATACTTAAATCATCCCCTATAAACTATTTCAGTTTGCACACAATAGTGAAATTTATTCTAGCTGTAAAAATGTCCTTTTGTAACTGGATGAATCTCAGCTTCATGCCTAGAATTTGCTTTCCAAGGGCCTTGGTAAACAAAGCTTTACATTTGTGCATTCCTAAAAAGCTAACAAAGCCTAGATAAAATGTCAGAAAGCAAAATTCATAAAAAATCATGAAGACTCTTTTGTTGCACTGGTATCTGTGCTGAGTGCAGAACTGAAAAACTTCCCAGTTGTAAAACGTGCAGTTTCTTGTAAAAAGTCTTCCAGAAACAACCGACGTGTTTGCGGTGAGTAAAATAAGAGCTGAGATCTGAGGAACTGATTTCTAGCCCACATGTCTTCCTCAGCTAGCAAAGGTTTTAGACAGGGTTGCTGAAGGTTTTGTAATAAATAATAGGGTTTTTTATACATATTTTCATTGCCTGATGTGCACCCCCTTCATATCAGTCTTCCTTTATCAATTTTTTGTCTACCTGTCTATTTTGCCTTTTTTTTTTTTCCTTCTTCATGACCATCAGAGCCCTTCCCTAGCATACAGAACAAGCCTGAACAGATCCTTTGAAGTCAAAGGAGAAAGTGCCTTGGATATGTTTTAAACTGAGAAATGCCATAATAAGTAGTAGTATGGTCTCCAGCCTGCCAGTGATTCCTCTTCTTTTGGAGGCAGCCACCTTGGAGCCAGTCACAGCAGTGAGCTGTTGTTCAGTGGTGAATTGTCCCATGCCAGTGAAGCATTTCTTCTCTGATGACGTGACATTCATTCAAAGCTGTTCAAACAGGCCTTTGACTAATCAGGTTGATGGTTTTTTCTTCTTTTTTTTTCCATTTCAGTCATTGTTGTGTAGGACTAGAGATGAAAGAAGATCTTGAGGAATTTTACAAGAAGTTTCTTCCTTCAGCTATAGACAACCTGCTGGTCTTGGGAAAACGCTTGCAAGCGCGATTTATCCGAGCAATCAAGGTATTTAAATTTCATAGTTAAAAGAGCAGAGAACCTCTGTAAGCTTTCCAAGGTCACGTATGGGATAAGTAGAATATTATTCTAGGGACACTGTATTATAAAAATTTATTTTCCAGAAATCACAGTCATTTTTCTTATGCCTTGGAGCTTTGAAACTGAAATCTGTCATTGGGAAGCGTTTGGTCCATGACTTGTGCAAAGCCAGTTTGTTGCCATAGGCCTGTTTAGAAAGTTTGTCTACTACTTTTCACAGGTTTTAAAGGTAGAGGGAAGGATTGCAATTGTAAGTAGGATTGAAGAATGAGAACAATATAAGAGGGGAGTAAAAGCCTTACAAAAGGCAGCATCCCAGTCACGGTAGTGTCTTAATTTTGCATATCATTAGGTCAGCCTTTGTAACGACTCAGTTCCCACTGCTTTTATTCAGCTTTACAAAAAATGGTTTAGGAAGTCTTAAGATTTTAAATCAGATTTGTTGAAGTTTTGTTTTGCCATACAATTCCTGCTGTAAAATTGGCAAAAAAATTCCAAGAATGCTCACTGCTTCTGAACTTACACATTGGAAATGCTAAAGGCAGACTTTGTGAATGTATAAATTTAAACACTTTCTCACATTTCTCCCCCTCTTTGCAGAGAAGAAGGGTTTGCCCAGTTAGGTTCCCTCATGCTTCTGAAGCATTCTGAGTTCTAGAATCAGAAGAAAAAAGCTCAACAAATGAAACCCACGAGTAATTTAAATAACCAACCTGATGGATTCTGACAGTTTCCCGTTTCCCCATATTATCTCATTTTTTGGCTCACTGGCTTCTTGCACTTAGTCAAAGTTTTCCTACAAAGTATTCTGATAGACACCACAAACAATCAATTCTCAGAAAGCATCAGTAACATCTTTTCTGTTAGTCCAATACTTGAGAAGTGCATTTGGTGCTTAAGAAGGAAGCACTGTCCTGAAAGACATCCCAGGAGACTCAAGTCTTATCCGCAATATGTAATTTCCCCCACACTTTCTTATTATGTCTCAGCCTACATGCTACTTGAGTCATGCTTGTGGGCAAAGATTTCTTTTGAATGCAAATGCAGTCTTCATTATAATTAGTACTTTGTCTTTTAAACTTTGTGGTCTCAGAGGTGACTGGGCACCCAGACTTGGTGCTTGCTCAGTGGAATTTTGGAAATCCCACTGTACCAGTGGGGATTTGTAGTTTATTCTGCCCTCATTTGCTTTTTGTACAAGTCTTTGAAGTCAAGGGAAGTACTGAAATAGCTTTCAGAAACTGTCATGTTGCCAAAACACAGAACAGATAATACATGTTAACTTATCACTGTTATTTTGTATTTCTCCGCGTCAGTAAGGATCAAATACAAAGTTAAACTTTGACTGATGGCTGGGATTTACAGCACGGATCTAGGGACTAGGCTTTCCATAGTTTCATTTGTGGAGGCTCAAGTAATGTGGGAGATATCAGGCCATATGTTTTATAACAACATTTGTCAGCAATGTAGTACTATCAAAAGCTCCTTTGCAGTCCCCCGTGCCCCAAGATTCTATATTTCCAGTGGCCTGTAGCTCACACCTGGAATACAGACTCTGTGCATCTGTATGTGCATTCACATGTTAAAACCTGAATTCCTTCTGGTTATGGCAGAGTCCTGGAGCACCTCTTCTGTGAAGAGAGGCTGAGAGAGATGGGAGGTTGTTCAGCGTGAAGAAGAGAGGTCCCTGAGGAGACCTTGTATCACCTCCCCCTACCTAAAGGGGCTACAGGAAAGCTGGAGAGGGACTTTTTACAGGGGCATGTAGTGACAGGACAAGGGGTGATGGCTGTGACACTGAAAGAGGGAGGTTTACATTAGATATTGGGAAGAAATTATGTACTGTCAAGGTGGTAAAACACTGGAACAAGTTGCCCAGAGACGCTGTGGATGCCCAGTCCCTGAAAGTGTTCAGGGCTAGGTTGGATGGGGCTCTGAGCAACCTGGTCTAGTGGAAGGTGTCCCAGCCCATGGCAAGAGGGTTGGAACTAGATGATCTTTAAGGTCCCTTCCATCCCAACCATTCTGTGATTGATTCTGTGTTTTTTTCCAGTCCAGTGTTATCACAGGTAGGCACATAATGTCTCTATTTGGCAAAGGGATCAAATTTCAACTTAATAGTGGTTTGGTGTTTGCTCCCAGTGCTTCTAAAGCTTCACCAAACCAGTTTTTTGGGAACCTTTTCCATTTTAACTGTGTCCTTGGCCACTTTGTATCTTTTTTTTCCCCTCTTCTTTAATCTTAAGTAATGTATTTCCCACTTTGTGCATTAAATCTGTGATGCATTTTTACTGAGCTACTGTTTGTCTTCTTATCCCTCCTATGCTATCAAATATTTTTTAAGAAGTAAACAAGACTTCTCTCTCCTTGTTACGAATTTTTCACAAATGGGTGCTTTTGCTTTTGTAGTATGTTAAGGTCTTATTGTCTGATCTCTGACCTCAAAGAACTCACAAGCTGGGTTTTTTTGTGACTCGTTCCTACAGTTTCACTGACCTCATTTGGGAATTTGGTGGAGTTTTGGTCTCCAAATTCCCAAGGCGTACAAAGCTTCCCACTACGTCAAGCTGAAGTCCTTAGTGAAGATACGTACACATGTTTTTACCTAATTCTCTTTTGTTTAGGATAAAGAAAAACAAGATTTTTTACACTGGTTCCAAACAGTAACCAATGCCATCTGCTGGCTGTTCGGTGGGCATATTCAACTAGCAGCATGTGGTAAGGGAAATGTCAACCTATAAAACACCTGAACATTTATTTATGGCAACTACAGGTATCAAGAATCACTCTTAAGCTAGTAACCACCTAGTCTTCTACATTGAAGTAGATGGTAAATCAATCTCTTAAAGTATTCAGCTCAACAGCAATATCTAAAATGGAAAAGATCCACTAAAGGGAAATACTCAAGAGTTCCCCTTCTAGTCTTCCAGAGACAAATATTAGAAGTGTCTTCCTTGTAACTCTAAAATTACAATTTCCCATTGTAATTCTATACCTTTAAAACTAATTTTTTTCCCAATAGGAGACAGTTGGTCTTTTCCTGTGTGTGATTAAAATATGCAGAAATTTGACTAGAGTACATTGCTGCCCTGAGAAGTGGTTAGAGTTGGAAACAGATTTCTGAAGTTGTTGCCATGCCAGGAAACTTTACAAATACCTAACAAACTTCGCTATACATTTCTGACCAAAATAAGCTTTCAATTAAACCAATGTTAATCACACTGATTTTAAAAAGCAGAATTTGTTTTTCTTTCTAGTATAGAACAAAAACATAAGGATCACAAGATGTGTAACTAAAAACACACATGGTCAGAAAAATTACTGAATATGTAGACAGTGATACACTGTAATAAAAAAGATGGTGCTTTAATGACATCAGTGGACTTGGATTAAATAACCTGGTGTAACAAACTGTCAAGGTTGAAGTCCTTATCTTTTTTGGATATTGTTGCCCCAGTGATAATTCTGCTGTTGTAATAAGAAACTGGTACTAGTGTAACATAAAAGGTTTTGAAGCTTTTATTCCATTGCAACATCAGGGCCTGGGGGATATTCAAAGGCAGAAAAAACAGGGTTCATCATGTTTTTTGGATCTTGAAGTAGTTTAGTATTTCAGTAAGTTCCAGTGTAAAAATTATAAATGAGGGAGTTTGTTCCAGAAACAGTATCTGTTTTTACTTGTTATGGCTTGTGTTCCATAATGGAGTTTATTTGGTTTATGGTATTTTCATGTCTGGTTCTGATTGCATAATTTCTTATTTGCTTGTTTTTTGTTTTTTTGCAGTACTGCAAAATGATTGCTTCCTGCAGTTGTTAATAACAGATGATGTTGAAACAGCAATTATAATGATGTCTGTTTTACACAATATTTTGAGGATCAATAGGTCAGTTGTTTTCATATAATTATTTTTCTGAATTATAAATTTTAAACTCAGTTCATTACCACTTGGTAAAATAAATTTAATATATATATTATATATTTTATTGTATATGAATAATATATATTATTGTTGTGTTTTCTTGTTTTGGGTTTTTTTTCCCTAGTCTTTGTTGTAGAAATAAAAAAAAATAAAAAGCTGGAGATTTTATTTGGTTAAATTGGGAGAATGGGAATTGGTTGATTGAAACAGTAGTACTGCCTGGATCAGGTTGCTGGCCCAGCTAGCTGGGCACATTGGCTTCCTATATGGCCTGACATATCTAAAAATAATCACTGTTAAAAAGCTCATGCTTTTTAATTAACACTTCTGTCCCCCTTCCCCTTTTTTTTCCCTTTCTTCTTTTTCAAGTTCTGTCTTCCTTCAAGCTGATAAAGCGACCCTTCACTCTATTTTGGATGAACTTGTTTATAAGCTTTCATCTACCACCAATCCTGCTGTTGGAAGTGCTGCCACAAAACTGCTGTTGGAGGTGGCCAAACTGAGCAAACAGCTTGTGCAGTTACTCACAGCTCGCTACAAAGGTTTGTAAACGTACATGGGACCCATGGCTCAGCCTTCTGCAATGAGTTAAGTCACTGTGAGAATACAAAGATGAAGGTTTCCCATCTTGGTTCAATAACTATCCAGTACAAGTGGAAACTGCAGTGCTGTGTTGCTTTTGGGGCTTTTTTCTCCTTCTCTTCTGTTCATTTTTGTTGTAGTTTAAGATACTGTACCTCTTTCTGTTTCCTAGATTTATTTTCTTCTGTGGACTCTGCATGTGGTAACTTGTCTTTTAAACCTGTTGTTTGTCACTTCCAGCTTGATGGGCTTTACTTCTTCCTATTTCCCTGTGCAGGTTGGTTACTGAGGGATCCCAGTAGCAGGGTGTCTGTACTGCCACAGTCAGAGCCCTGTGTCAGACATCTGCCACTGTGCTTTAAGTTTTACTCAAAGTGAACTTCTGACCCTGGATGTTACAGGTCTGCTCATCTGATAGATGCTGTTCTGTTATTGAGGAGCTGACTGTCTTTTGATATCCAAGTAATTGGAATGAATTCTTTCCAAGAATTCGTGTAATGAGTTTATCATTTTGTCTTGATGCCTTTAGATGAGGAGGCTGCATATGTGTATAATCTGCTCTGTTGTTCATTCTTTAATGAGGTGTCCCATTCAATGTTTCTGTCTCTAGCCTGGCAGGGAGTTCCAGGAAGCCCTTTTGTCCTCTGTCATGCCTGTGGTGACTAAGGAAGAGGCTTTGATGTTTGCCAGATCTTTTATGTTGGTCAAAACTACTCATGAGCAGCCTCAGTCCTTTGGGGACAAGGACAGTAACAAATGTTCAATTCCAATTTTTTACACTTGTGCTGACTACTGATTAGGCAGTACCAGCCAGGTAGATTTCTGGACCAGATGGGCAGCTTTGCTACCCTTTTGCTTGAGAGGGGAGAGCTTCCTTTTGGTTTGAAATTAAATATAATGAACCTAAGGCTGGTATCAGATTGTGGATCCTTGTGAAGCTGTTGTGATGGTCTGATCATCCCAGTTGTAGAGTGCTGGCTTGTCTGAAGAGATGCAAGTCTCCATCAAAAGATGGTGCTTTGTTTTACTCTAGAATCACAATATGCCACAGTCATTTAGAAACTCCTCATGTCTCTCTGTGCATTTTGTCTTTCCACTAAGAAATGAAAAAAAATTGCTTTTTTCCTCTACGTTTTTTTTAAAGTTAGAATCCTTATGTTAGTTTTCACTCAGATTTGGAATCCTTTAGGTAGTTTGAGGAATAACAGCAACAAAGAAAGCATCACAGCATTTCCACCATCTGGCCATCTCACTGAAGTTACTTGGCTTCTCAGTGGCTCAGAGCCATTGCCAGTGTGAGGTGCTTCAGTGTAAGCTTTGCCAGTGGAAGCAGCCTGCCCAAGGTGACATCACCTGAACCTAAAACTGGCACAGTCTTTACATCAGGTTTCCAGGAAGGCCTGGTCTTTTTATCTGCATGGGTTGACACGTCTAAGAGGCAAACGCCAGGTACTCCCTGACAGTGGCTGGAAGGTGCATCGGCTGTGTAGTCTGTACAGAAACTGGCCGATGGTTGTGTCAGACCCACAGCACTTCTGTGAGGGAGCTGCCTCGTGTAGCCAGACTACCTGCTTTTGTAGACAGCCTTAGGGCACCAACTAACTCCATTTAGAATCTCACCTGTGTCTCTTCTCAAGTCTTTAACTGTCATCATCTTTCGAAAATGGTGCATGGGGTGCCACAGAGGTGCCATTTCTGTTTGCATGGAGGACTTGGTGCTCCATATCCAGATCCTGTAAGTACATATGAGTGTTGGAGTTCCCTAGTGTATGAATATACTTACAATGATTTGAAGATGGAAAAGTTACTTGAATCTGCAGTTCTTCAGGAGACTATCCAAACATGTGCCTAGTTGCTGCCCTCCTTCCTCTTTCCTGCAACTCCCCGCAGAGCTCTTGGGCTCTGGGATTTGTCTGATACAAAGCTTTTAGCATGTGTTACTGTGTACTTGCACGGGGAGTGTGTGTGTGTTGTGGGGGGAGCACAAGTGTGATTTTTAGCTACTGCAAACCCGAAAAGCTACTTTGTCTCATGAATTGGATGCACATGTACTCACAGACTGTGTTATGCAGATAGGACATCGAACAATTCCGGTTATAAATAAATAAATTTTATTATGAAAAATACAAAAATAGTGCTAATAACACTCTGCACTTTTGTGGTGCTTTACATTCTTTTAGTACCTTACAATGACTTACTGTTAAGACACTGAAAGTACACTGATAATTTAACCGCCTGTTACGTAGACACAATACTTATTCAGACATACAAAATCACTGGATAATACTTCTCTGTGATGGTTGGAGCACCAGATATTCTTTGATAATATTCTGCATTGAAACTCAAAGGTGGCCAATGGTGTTTAGCTCTAGTGTTCCTTTGCACATAAAATCAGATTTTATTTGTTGACTCCAGTTCGTTACTTTGAAATCCTGAAAAGAAACATTCACCTACTGGTATCACATGCTGTTTCTCTTTCCCTTAGGATTAAAAGGGCTTTTAAATAAACAGTGGACTGGCAAAGGATTTGACAGGGAGCTCAATCAGCTCTTGGACATGCTGTATTTGGAACAATCCAGTGGAAAAGGAGAAATGCAGGTGATAAAGTTAGATTAGACTTTTTAATGTGAAATCTTAGTTATATGTGATTTATATGTGTTTATAATGGATTTACTCTATCGCTTCCATGACACTTTTCAATTTTTCACTATTTAAATGTCATATTTATTATTTTTTCCTTTTTTTTTGAAAACATCAAGAAATTGCTTATTAATAAGTTATGGCACTGTGACTCGAGAGATTGACTTTCTTTGTAGATTCACCATAGATTTCAATACAATCGTAGGGGAAAAAGAATTAATTTTTTTGCTAATCATAAAATAAAAATAACTGTGTCTGCTTTTCTCACATCGGTGTTACAAATTTAGATCTCTGAATTCTAAGCAGCATTCACATAGAATTAAGTCATATAGAGAAAATATGCAGTAAGAACAACACCTGGGCTGTGTTCCCAATAAAAGGGATGACGTGTTTTATGAGCTTCTTAAAAAAATTTTACATGCAGGTTTCTCAGAGACAGTACTTTAAAGAAATCAGAGTTGTGTTTGTAGAGATTTGCTTTCATCTTCAACAGAGCAGGTGGTTTGTGTTTGGGTTGGTTTGTGGGTTTTTTAAAATTCATTTAAGAATAGAATTGATCTTCTTTTTCATGTTTGCATTTCAGTGACTTCTGATCATACTGCAAATGTAACATTTTTCCTGCTGCTAATTCTCCAAACTTGTCTTTCTGTCCTCTCTAGAGCAGGTGTTTTGATTGAATCACCATTTGAAATGCCAAGTGCTTCAGGAGTTTTAAGGGCAAATTTCTAACATTGATTATATACATGTTTGTTCTGTAGATTCATTTGTTTGCCACAGAAAGCATCAATACAGGGGATCAGATGAGCTGCCTTTGGGGCAAATATGGGGTTCATGATAATAACTGTCTTACAAGACTTTTAATTCCCCAAGCTGTACAAATAGTGAATTTGATGCATTTGAAAACTGATGGGTTTTAGCCAAATGTTGACATTGTCCAATTATGCAGTCATTAAGTGGTTTTTTATGCATAGAAAATATTCTACCAACTGTTTCATTTCAGAAGCAGCATCAAGCAGCATGTATAATCCAGGCTACGTGGAGGGGATTTCAGACAAGGAGAAGGCTGAAAAAGCTACCCCAAGCAGTGACCACATTACAGAGAAGCTTCAGGTAAACACTATGGCTTTGTGAAAAACAATAAGGAGTAGAGTCTAGTAAGAAGGTTTGGATTGGGTTTTCTCAGTTCACAGACTGACAGGAAAAATTCAGGTCATCTAATTCAATATCCTGGTTGAAATAGACCCAGCCTCAAAATAGAATCTGTCTGCTCAGGGCCATATCCAGTTTTGGAGGTCTCCAGGGGTGGAGATCCCACCATTTCACTTGACCACTTTCCTGGTGCTGGATGATTTGCCTTGTGAAAAATTCTACCATTACAGCCAGAGGGAATTTCCTCGTTGCACTCCTTACCACTGCCTCCTGTCCTTTTTCTGACCACTTCCGTGGTCTGGCTGTGTGTGCTCTATAACACTTAGGAAATGGAAGACAGAAATTATATTTGCCTTCCTTTTGGCTAAATAAACCTCACCTTGTATATCCTACCTTCCATAGCCCTGATTATCTCTGTTTGGACAGTGTCTATCCCTCCCTTTTGTCAGTATCTTGTCTACCACTGGGGGTCCCAGTAGAGTGTGACCAATATTGCAGATATGCCCTCAAGAGTGCTGAGTAAAGCCAAATAATCATCTTTGATTGCTGCCTCTGCTTGTGCTAGTGCAGCCCACTATGCCCTGCAAGGGCATGCTCCTGGCTCGTGTTCAGCCTGTAATCCCACCAGGGACCTCAGGTCCTTTTCACTGGAGCTGCTGCCCAGGTAGTCAGTGCCCAGCTTGTACTGATTCATGAGGTTGTTTGGTACCAGGTGTAGAACTTCCCATTTGAACTTGATGTGGGGGGTGTTGACCCATTTTATGTGTTTGTGGAGGTTTCTCTGAGTGCCAGCCCTGCCCTGCAAGGGAGATTGTGATGACAGCTTTGATAAAGTCAAGGACAATGACATCCAGTGCTCTCCCCTCATCCACAGAGCCAGTCATCTCATCACAGAATGTGATCTAGCTGGTCAAAACATGATTTGCCTGTGATAAATCTGTACTGGCTATTCCCATTCACCTTCCCGTCCTTACTGGAAATACCTTCCCTGAGAGTTTGTTTCCATATCGCAGGCCCTGAGTTTGGGCTGACCAAGTATTCCCTCATCTTGAAGATGGCTTTTTCCAGTCATCTGCTATTTCTAAAACATAAAGGTAATGTAATGCCAATATGAGCTGTTTCACTACAGATTCTTTTAGCAGAAACATCCAAACAATGTGCTTTTCCAGCAGTACCAAACTGCCACTTTGGTGCCAAAATCTCCAACTGTCCCTTTCCCAGCTGCCAGACTTCTCCATGAAAAAACTTACTTCTGTGATGCTTTTATGTTTTCTATGTAAAAATTTGTGGCATATGGAAAACTGAAAGTGTGGCACACTGTAGCATGGGATTGCACTAAATAGCACTAGAAAATTATGTACTGGTGGTAGAACAGTTAACTGATTCACGGTTAACTTGACACAAAATTGCACTGTAAATTATATGTGAAGCTGTCCCAGAGTTTCCACATGCCAGAGAGCTGCAGAAACAAAAGCCCATAGTGCTTGCTCAGTATGGTGATTGCAAGACCTTGTTCTTCATTAATTTTTGAAATCTTTGACTCTTGAAAGTGGAGTAGTTTCAGTGACCTAGATAGTATCCTCTGCCTTGGAGCAGCACAGAAGAATGAAGCTATGTAAATAATGCTTGTCTCACTTCAAGTAAGATTTCAGCAGTAATGTTAGCACGTTAGGCTAACTCTTTTGAGAAATGTAGTGTGAATTTAATATAGGTTAATGGATCTAAATCAAGCTCAGACTCTACAGCAGGGTTTTTTTCAAACTTTTTTTGCACCCGTTGAGCATTACCATGTCAAAACTATACCAAGATATGAATGTCAAATTACATTGCATTGTGACCAAGGTGATAGAAAACAAACAGTTATGATTTGTTGTTGTCTAGATTGGCATTAAAAAGATATTAGATTATCTCAGGTGTACTCTTTAACTTCTGGAAGATTTGCAGGGGCACATAGTGTGTTTGTTGAGGGTCACCAGTCACTGCAGCTTTTGTACTGAAACACCAAGAATGACATCTTGTCGCTCCTTTTTACTCCACCATACACTTCAAGCCAATATTCCTGCTCTCATCAGGCACCTTGCAAGCCTGCAAGCCAAACTCATAGCCCAGGAAATTTGGATGTTGGGCCAAGACATAACATGGTAAAGCAGAAGGGAAAGTGTGACAAGGCTATCAGCAATCAACAAGCTGCTCAACTCCCTTGTGTTGTATTTTCAATATTGCAAGCATTAGTGTGTGCCTCTTAAGTAGTTCTTGAATCATTTAAATGGAGTTTTGAAAGTGTTTGTTTAATATTAAGAGGAATGGAAACTTATTAATATCCTTAAAGTTGTGTGTTCATGGCTCAGTCAGTCCCAGTGTACTGAGCAAATACAGTAACTGTGCAGCTCCAGTGTTGGTTTTCTTCTGTCTGGGTCAAAACTGCTGCTAGCATTATGCTGAAAAATAGTGTTTGGAATACTGTAAGCATGACTTTGGAAGAACCTTCAAGAGGACTTTTTAATTTTTAGCAGTCAAGTTCTGGTTATATTCACAGATTTGGTTTAGAACAAGTGTGGTTAAATACTGCAGAGGCTGAAACTCCAAACTTGGCTCACCTGCAGCTGCAGTGGAAGATTTAAACTCTGCAAGTTATAAACTTCTGAAACTATGGTTTCAGAAATGTCTCCCCAGTGAATATTAAAGCCTGTAATCTATCCTTGAAGTTAGTTCACTGTTATGTAGCTAATTGTAAGACTCTTAAAATGGCAAGAGTTTTGTGTTAATTATGCAGGAAAAAATAAACCATTTTATATATATAAAGAGATGATCAGAGTGAGGCTGATCTGTGCCATGAACTGCTGAAGTAAGCTTGGATCTCACTCTGTGTATGTTTTACTTCTGTTCAGAGGCATTTCCCTGTCACAGTGTGATCTTGTGCAAGCAAATGCATCTTATCATTAGGAGGAACAGAGAATGAAGAAGCACATGTGTTTTGTAGACTACATGGGAAAGAATCAGTATCAAAGAAACATTTGAATACCTGACAGACACTACTGGTAGTTTCACAGAGGTGCATCTGAAAAGTTCATTAAATATTCTTATAGTTTTCAACCTAATGAGGCTGATAAAAATCTATGGGGAAAATATTAATAGTTTTATCAAGAAAATGCCATCAAAAGTCCTGTTTGATGCTGTAACTTCATTCACCATACAAATATAATATTTGGATTAAAACATTAATTTCCTGGATTAAAAATACAAATATTTACAGCTCTAATTTGCAGAAATGCATGGGCTGAAAACCTCTAGTTTCCTTGAAACCATTCTGATATAATCACACATATCATGATCTGTCTCTGTAGGTTGGTGTGTGGGCACACTTCAAGTCTTTGTTACAGTTGTAGAGGGATTATGGTGTGTCAGGTTGTGGTGGAGGCTTTTCAGTTAGGTCAGATCTTTAAATCCAGAGCATCTCTTTTACACAACAGCTTCCATCCCATCTTTCCCCACCCAGTTATGGAGACTGATAAAAAGTATGGTTGGTGGAAAAATTGCACCTCAATTTACACTAGTGATGGGAAACACGCAATTATCTCAACAGTAGTGTGAGTCTAAAGATATGACATGCAGCAATACCAAAATTGCTGTACATTAGTTCTAGTCTTCTGACTTTTTTTTCTCCTTTCAGGCATCCCTTGTACCTGTGCTCAGTCCGTTGGTTTTCTTTCCTAATGCTTAAAGCGCTTCTTTCAATGTCCCTGGAAAAGTGCTTGAGGAGAGCAGAACTCAGGGCTGTGGGCCCAGTTGGGGTACTCAGGTCTTGAGTGGGCAAGTGATTTTGCTGCAGTAGGAACAGAGAAGTCACATTGTTACCTCATTTTGGGGTAAACTCATAGAGTCTCAGGCATTAAGCTGCTAATGAGGTCGGATCCATTGGGATGAAAAGGGGCAGTGGAGTCCTAGCTCACACCTCGTCTTTCATACTTCACAAAGACCATGTTGAAGTGGTCTCAGTAATTATTAGTATTGATACATTAATATATCCAGTATTAGTCTCTATATTGATATGTTAGTATATATATAATTGATGTACAGGCTATTTTTAGCTTAAATACTCCAGGGCCAGTTGCAGAGTTTTCAGTTGTCTCATTTCTGAAACATCTGCTGAGTCTTTTCCAGTGCCAGGCACAGCAGGGCAACATCATAACATCAAATCTAGTACAGATCAGGAAGAATTTGCAAGAAAATTCTTTCCTAGTGTTCTGTTAACAAAGTTGATGGAGAAAATGTCAGTCTGTATTTCCTGGAGAAAAAAATCGCTCCAAATTTAAGAAGTGAGGCTTGACAGCCAACATTCTGATCTACTCTTGCAGTCAGTAGAAAAATAGTAGTATGTGTTATAGGAAGCAGGTGCCATGCATGCTGATGGATGGACTGGAAAAGGTGCATACTGGAGCAGATGGCTAATGTTGCTTTACCTCTTCCCCAGATAATGGAAACAAAATTATTTTTCCAGTTTGTGCTGGCTTTGAATGTCCCACATGGAGCATTGCTCCTTTCAGGGTCCTTAGAACTTTATCCTAGGTAAAATTTTATCCTTTGATTTCATAGACTGGCTCAGAGTTTTTTGTGGGTATAAGAGATTTGTGGCTAATTTGCAGGTGACTTTTCGTTGCTTCGTGTGGTTCTGCAGCCAGCAGCTGGGGTAGCAGATTATTTTGTGGATTTCCTTTCTCAGTGCTGGACCATTTAACACAAAGAGAAAGAGAGGTACTTTAAAGAAATGTACAGCTTAAGGTAATTGTTAATGTACTTATGTATTGCAGAGCCAAACGGGAACAGGAGCTGCAACACTTAGCAAAACAGAAGGAAGATGAGGCTCTGAAACTGCAAATGCAACTTCAGAGACAGAGAGCCATGAGACTCTTCCATGAACGACAGCTGGCCTTACTGGAAAGAGTCCATGCCAGTATGATTTATATTAAACTATAGCAGAAGATTCAACTGTCTGGGACTCCTCCAGTTTCCCCAAATATATGTCCTAATCTTGCACGTCTGTTTGCACTGTAGTCTTACTGTCTCTTCTCCTGACCCAATTATCTGAAAGAGAACATGCTCATTCCCCCAGGGCTCAGTAACTACTGATCAAGATCTGCTGCCTTCAGAATGGTGCAGGAGAAAGGGAGAGCCCATTTTCTTGTGTTACAAAGCTCCATTGCAGCTACAAGTCTGCAAGACATGACCCACAACTAGCGGACCTGGGGGAAGAGGGGTTTTTAGCTGAGAGCACCCAAGCTGCTTTGGTACTGTCTAGTTTGAGGATTAACAATGTAAATTGTTAAGAGATCCTAACCCACAGTCTTGTAACTGGATTTTTGTTACATCTGTAGGTCAGGTAAATAAATACATGGAGGAAATGGAGGATAAATCAGCATTAACTATCCAGAGATTCTGGCGAGGGTATAGAGCAAGAAGAATTTTTCATCAACAGAAACAATCTCTTAAGGAGTATAAAGCAGCTGTCATCATTCAGAGAACAGTAAGTATATATACTTTGTTCTAGCATTAGATAGGACTGAGTGGATTATTGTGATGCCTCAAAAAACTGTTTATTGTCTTTCTGTCAATGTAGCCATAAGTTATCAAAAAATTACTCAGCAGATGATAGTCTAGAGCCACAAGTTGCTTAGAAGGGTTAAACCTTGCATAGGTTACAAATCCTAATTCAGTTTTGTAAGTTAAATGTAAGAGCTGCTACTTCAAAACCTAAGGTTGGAATGTCACCACACTACAGATGAGTCAGTGACTTATTATGAGTGTTGTTACTTACTATTTAGTGTTCATGCTGACCTTGTATGTTGTCTTTTCAGCATCATAGCTGCATTTAGGCTTTAACAATGCAGTATGGAAATATTTTTCTTTCACTGATTGATTACAAACAAAATGAGAAGACAAACTTCTTGTCTGTGATTGTCATATTGTCATATGTTCTTTACAAAGGCTTGTAAATTCTTGGAAAAACGAAGAAAGAGGAGACCTCTCTCTCCTTGGAAAGAACCCAAGGGACTGACTGATGAGCAGAGACTAGCTTTGCAGCAGAAGGTGGATGACTACATCAAATTGCATCCGGTCTGTTTCTTAGTCATTTCATAATTTGCATTAATGATGCAACATAAAATACTCTAGGGATGAAATAAATTCAGCATCATAAATTCTGATCAAGATAATCCATGTGAGGTATGTGTGTGTTAACCCTGCTTGTTTGACTGCAAGGCAGCAGGATATTGGGGATTTTAACCATTAATCTAATAAAAAGTGTCAAAGCAAACTGTAATTGGAAAATTTATATACTTGATGCAGGATAACTTCGGAGATAGTTGCAGAGGAAGCAAAATTATTAAGTTAACAATTAAGAACAGCATTTGCATTCCTTGTTTAGGCATTATTCTACCCCCGGAAGATTTAAAATAACCAGCTCCTAATGGTAACAAACTGTTACTTTCCTCCAGGCTTCCCAAATGTCAGAAGAAATGAGTAAAGAATTACATATGCAGGCTCAGGAAAAGCTGGCACAGTTCCTGTTGAGGAGCAGGCTGGATCAGAGAGCAGCACAGAGGAGAGAGACATTACTGGCTCAGGTCAACACTGATGTGGAGCTGCTAATGAGTATGTGACTGCCTGTGATCATAGTTTTGATTACCTTTTGGATTAAACCAATTTAGATAGAAAATTAGAGTGAGCAGTGGTAAAGCCTCGTTTCAAAACTGAAATATCTTTCTTCCTTTGCCATATGCCTTATCTCAAGATTTAGGCTTTGTTAAAGATTATCCAAGTGTTGCTGTACGTTAAGTACACCTACTTTTCAAGGAGTATCTTATTCTTCTACAAGCAATGGGCCTATAAAAGGCATTAAAATTTCTAAAAAGGGGATCTCACACAACCTATTCCTCTACATTTGTTTTGCTTTGTTTTGTTTTCTTGTATTGTGAGTAAGCTGCTGGTTGAAGTCCTCTAACCCCTTCCAGATAAAGAAGGAAATCTTTGAGCTATGAATTCCGAATCATGTTTTCATTTTCTCTGGCCTGGCTTTATGTGAAACAGAATTCACTATCGTGATATCTTAATTCCAGACAAGTGGCCCAGAGTGAAGGAGCAAGAGTAGCAAACTGCAGCCACCAGAGAGCACCCAAGCCGGGTAGAATTCAGCACGTTACTGAATTCCATTATTTAGTCTGTCATGTGCTGTGTCACTGCAGCTCATTACTCCCTGAGCAGGCAAATCAGCAACACACTCTTACACTGTGCTGGGTCTCCCAGGCAGGAAATGCTCAGTGCTGCTGTGCCAGAGCAGTGGAAACACCCTGCTGATGTCACCCTGTGCCAGGAGCACTGATCCAGCAGTAGTGACCAGGAGATCCTCTTAGGTCATACTTACCCAAGAAGTCATTTTGGTAGATGCCACCACTGCACCTGAAAGAAGTAGTCCTGCTTTCCCCCTTCTTCTTTCTACCCCATTATGTATTTATTTTTTCGGATTAGCCTTTATTTGGATCACCTCTCCAATCAGATTTATCACGTGGTCATAAAATTGCAATGCCAGCATGGGGAAAGAGATGATCTAGGACAGTGGGAAGTGGGAGGGTAGTGCTCCTTTTTTTGTTTGAAATACTCATAAAGCCACAAACAAAATGTAGAAAACTCTTCTCCTTGTTTTTACAGATGCTCCAGGGTTAGCAGAGACCACAGAAAAAGACATTGGTGTCTTCGTGAGTCGATCAGTCCCTGTAGCTACCAAGGCAAGACAATCCCACAACACTATGCTGAAACACACTCGCTGGCCATGGTGGAAAAAGCTTGGAGATGACTTTATGGAGGATGATGTAATTCCTGATGAGGCCCTAAATACAGAACTGGAAACTCTTTTTATTGGTGGAAGAAAATCTTTATAGGTAACAAGCAGAAGAATTCTGTATTCAACCAGACTCATACCTTGTACTATGCGCTTACTTTTGTGTGTTTTTAAGGAAGGAAAACATTTGAAAAAGACTGAAAAATACCAAAACCTCATTTTAGTGCATTTTATTTATCTTGGAAAGAATTCCTTCCTGTACATCAACAGTTGGATCCTATTGATCTTGTTGCAAATAGGATTTAAATACTGTAGTTGTAAATGTAGTTGTAAATATTTTGTACTTTGTATCACTTTAAAGGTAAGTTTATAAACTGTCTTTTCAGTTCTTATTCACACTGGGATGCATAAAAAGTCAGGACATTGTAAAAGCCTGGGCTTTTATAGCAAAACATTTTTATCAAGTGATGTGCTTTGAAATAAAGATGGGTTCAGAACAAAACAAGACACCAATACAAAATCAAACAAGCATGAGGTAGGCTGGGTGCTTTCTCTGTATTCTTCCCAGGCTACCTGTCCTTGCTTCCACTCTCTGTAAGCTCCCTTTTGTTTGAGTTTGAGCAGGAGTTTCATTTTCATCCATGAAGGCCTCCTGGTGTTTTTTGTCTGACTTCCTTTTTGTTGGGATGCGTTGCTCCTGAGCTTGGAGAAGAAGGTGATCCTTGAATATTAACCAGCTTTCTTGGGCCCATCTTCCTTCCAGGGCTTTATTCCGTGGTACTCTACCAAGCAGGTCCCTCAAGAGGTCAATCTGCTCTCCTAAAGTCCAGGGTAGTGAGCTTGCTATGCACCCCCCTTGCCAGCCTTAGGATCTTGAACTCCACCATTTCATGGTCACTGCAGCCAAGGCTGCCCATGAGATCCATTTCTTACCAGCCCCTCATTGTTGGTGAGAAGAAGCTACAGCACTCCACCTCTCCTCGTTGTCTCCTCTATCTCTTGGAGAAGGAAGTTATCATCAATGCATTCAGGAACCTCCTGGATTGCTTGTCCCCTGCTGTGTTGTCCCTCTAACAGGTATCGGGGTGGTTTAAGTACCCCATGAGGACCAGGGCTTGTGAATGTGAGGCTGTTCCTATCTGTCTGTAGAAGGCTTCATCAGCTTGGTTTTCCTGTTGGGGCAGCCTGTAGCAGACCACCACTGTAATGTCCCTGCCACCCCTTTATTCCTGACCCATAAACTCTGTCAGCTCCTCATCCATCTCCAGAGCTCCATGCACTCCAGCTGGTCAGTGACATAGAAGGCAACAACTCCACCTTGTCTCCCATGCCTGTCCTTCCTAGGGAGCCTGTATCCTTCCATTCCAAGAGTCCAGTCAGAGAAGCCATCCCTCCCTTCTCTGTGATGTCAATAAGATCACAGCCCTGCAGGTGTGTATATCACTATATGTATATCTCTAACTCCTCTTGTTTATTCCCCATGCTGTGTGCATTTGCACAGGGGCATTCGAGTTGGATCCCTGGTGAGACTGACTTCCTGGCTGGAGTGGCTGCAATTCCTTTATGCTGCTCTTCAGGTGCTCTTCTGCCCACTTGTGATCCCTCTCCAGACTCTAGGCTTCTCTCGCTGGCTCTGGCATCAAACTGGTACAAGTGGAATGGATAGAGGTTCCTCTCCCCTGGCAACTGTAGTTTAAAGCCCTCTTCACCAGCTGGGCAAGCCTATGACTGAAGATGCTCTGCCAGATGGACCCATGAGCCCTCAGCAGCCCACGTTCCTTGGGGCTCACAGGTCACCAGTGCTCCCTTGGGCTGCTTTTTTCCTTTAAAAGCCTGCAGTTCTTCCCACAGCCAATGCAGCGTACAGGAACATGGGCACAGTTCAAACTCTTACGTGGGACTGTAGCCTCAGTGTGACCATCTGGCTCTGTCTCCTTAAACCATGAAGAAGTTGTTTAATCCAGAAAGGTCTCCAGCCCAGGGCCTCTGCAGTCAATGTAGCCCAGAAGACAGGAAACACCTCCAGTAGGATCCTGCCTATGGATGTGCCCAGAACAAGAACTCGAGGCTGCACTAGTGCCACAGGTGCCTGCACTATTTTTCAGGTGAAATGCCCAGAGATTCTTAAAAATTACATCTTATCTCACTGCAGAGGAGGAAAAAGTGCAGTGATTTCTGCTGGTTTTATGTGGGCAGCAATATTGTTTCAGCATGTTTGTTTTCCATTCTCTCTAGAAGGCTTTGAGTTTTAATTTCAGTGGAGATGAATGGAAAACAAATAAATAGAAATAGTGGGCAGAAGCCCAAGCCCATTCAGTTGCAGCTGATACGTTGAAATTAATAACTGGACAGCTGCCAGAGGAAGAGCTGGGCTCTGTTAATTTTTTTTAAAGAACTGTGATTTGGAATGCACTTGAATTGGCTCATGATTCCTTTCTTGGAGAGTTAAATGGTGGAACAATCCATTAGGTATTTGCTAGGGCACTTGCATGTGTCTGTTGAGTTACATTTTGTTCTGCACAACTCTGTTGTTAGTTTTAAGCCGTGCCCATAACAGGACAGGTGCCCTACAACCACCAGAGCAGAGGGCCTGAGGGCAGTCACCGAGCACTCCAGGGGATGGAAACTGTCCCCCAGCAGCTGCCAAGCTCTGGCACAGGAAAAGGCCCAGCATCTCTGGATGGATGCACTGCAGCAGGCCAGCTGTTCCCTCCTAAATACCTGAGTCCTCTGTATACATCACTGTCCTCTCTGCCCCAAACTATTTTGACAGAGCAGCCTCTGCTGTTTTGTTTATTTCTAATCACCTCCTTAGAGCAGGGAGATGGTCGCAAAGGGGCTTTGCTGAATGTATCTTACAAAAAGACCTGACCCCCCATGGCCAGTGTTAAATACAAAGTGAATTAGAGAGCCATCTTACCAGAAAGACATTTATTGTAATGGCCTCTGCCACTCACTGCCATTGGAGTGGATAATGAAGTCCCACTTTGGAATATGCAGTTTGCTAGATAATGAGGGGTTTTAAGTGAACAGAGAGCCTAGTAGAAGGTGCTGTCTTGCTGAAGGAAATAAAGTTGCTGATCCAGCAGCACGAACTCCTCTGCCCCACCACTGCCCTGACAAAAATGCCTTGTTTTACTTTGTGCTTGTCACCAGAATATTGCAGTCACCTCCATTTTACAGACCAGGGAAACTGAGGCACAAGAGCCATGAGGGAACATGCCTATGGCCATATGTAACTGCATAACCTGTCACTTGTTCCTGTTACTGTTCCAGGCAGAGCAAGCCAGAGCGGAGCCACTACATGCGGAGGCAGAGCTGGGAGATGTTCTCAAATGCCAGCTTGGAACCTGGGCCCAGCAAAAGAGATCTCCAGGCTCCCTTGCTGGGAGGGATTTGGCATAGCTTGACTCATGCTCTTTTCAAGTCCTGCACCACGTGCACCATAGGCAGGACATATTGCTGGCATTTTATTTCACTGCAGCTCTTTCTGGAATAAAATACTCCTGCCTGAATAACAGGAACAGGTATGGACAGCTGAACAGAAGCCATCTCCAGCTTGATACCAGGTGAACAATCCTCTCTGGGTTATACAGTCACCCCCAAAAAAAAAGACTGTAGGAGAAGCTGTGAACTGAGATGGGACCAGTCCTGCTCCCACTTCCCTGTGTGCCACAGGCATGCACAGAAAATTGGGGCTGTTACTTGGGCATGAACATGCAGCACAGGTGGTCAAGCCAGGTAGGAAAAAGGGGCAGAGTTTGGTTGTGCCCAGAAGGTCTGGGCCGTGCCCCTGTGGGTAGTGAGCAGGCCTTCCCCAGCAGGCTGAAGACAGACTCTGGTCACCCAGAGGAAGTGTGGGAGTGCCCTCCACACCAGTGGAGTGACACACCTGGGGGCACCTGTCATGAGGGGAGGGGCAGAGGCAGAGCTGGAGCTGCTCAGGCAGTGTCACTCAGGTCCTTAAATACTGATGGCTGTCTCAGCTGGCCTGTGGGGGCAATTCAGCTGAATTGCAGGTTTCTGTTGCTGTGATAAATTGAACCAATTTGTCATGTGGTTTTGTTTCTTCCCTCCCTTAAGTAAAGCTATACAGGAGTGTTATTGCTACAGCTTCAGCAGCAGCAGACAATCTGGAAACCAAAATCCTCTGGTGGATATGGATAAAATGGAAGGGACAGTGACTGTTCTTCTGCCAAAGGTGCCACCAAAGTCATGGAGCTGGAAGAAGGCAGCAAAGGAACAAAACAAACAAACAATTACTCAGCCCTTTCAGAGAGAGAGACAAGGCAGTATCCTCTGCTGGCTCCTGAAATTGAGGAAAATTCCTGTTTATGCAGACAGGGGTTTTTTTCAGCTGTAGCTGTAACTGGACTCTGCAAACAACAGGATGCTCATCTCCAGCAGAGACACAGGCATGCGCTCAAGACTGTGCTGCTGAGTCCAAGGGCGTCTCCTGGCCTTTCAGACTGGTTGTAACAGGAGCTCTGAGTTGAGGACAGGAGATAACCCTGATGCTATTTCACCCCTCGCCTCTGAGTCTTGTACGGCCAATTTCCATGCGAGCAGAATCCGGTACGAACATCTGCTCTCCACTGCAGAGTATCACATATATCGAGTATAGGGAGAAACAAAAGCTTTCTCCAAGTAGCGGAATCAGGGCTATTTATAAATTATCCTTCATCATAAAAGGAGGCAGCCCTTGGCAGGGGGAGCTGCAAAGACTGTTGCAAAACAGGCCTCCACGTTCTCCTTATCATCCTTCTTTACAGCACAATAGCACCAGGTCATCCTCTAGGCATCCTTGTGTGCAGTGAAGAACCCTTTAATAGATTGTTCACTATATGAGTGATATAAGGGTCCAGATTGACCAAGGGGAACTGAAGGACAGGTGCCTCCCATCCCCTCTCCCCTGCTCTCCCTAAAGGTAGGGCTGGGTTTACTCCAGGTGCTGTCTTGGGACAGAATGACAAAGTCTGGCAGGTGAGGACCAAGGTCAGGACACCGCAGCTCTGGCAATTTTTCCCAGTTGTGCTGGAGAACTCCTCTGTGACCTTGAGCACATATTGTTTCTGTCTTTTCCTCTCTCAGATGAGGCTTACTGTTGCATTTGTGATTTAAGAGCCTTCAGTGGAGGATGCTGTGAGACCAGTGCCACTGAAATCCCATTCTACTAAACTGAAATGGGAGTTTGACGGGCCCTGGAAAGAAAAAATATTTGTATAATCAGATGTTGAGCACACAGAAAGAGCTCAAGGTTGCCATGCTATTTATTTCTCTCCGCATTCAACTTTTCTCTGCAGAATTTAGTTCTTCTCTAATTACATCCTCAAACAGAAGCAGTGTTATTACTTGTGCTGGATCTCTTAATAAAACCTATGAATACAAGCAATTCTGATCTCCTTTTAACATGTCTCACCAATACAGAACCTGCCTGTTCAGAACGAGATGAACACACTCACACATATAAGTCGGGTAACAAGACCCAACTA